CTGGTATTTTAAAAATCAATCAATCTTTTTGCTGTTGAAAACCATACCCTCATTCTGATACTCTTTACATCTTTCTGTTTTCCTACTCTCAATTTATGGATAGCAACTGATAGAAGGCAGCATAATCTTTCAAGATGCCTTGCCCTAATATATCAAGCACTTTGTTGTTTCTAGTATACCTAACATGTTTATAATATTGATTAGCACCCTGGCTGATTGGTTCTTGTCATGAATTAATCAGTTCTGGTAATGAATTACAGATTATTTCCTAGGCCTACAAGGCATATAGTTTGAGTACTGTAGTAGTTGCAATCAAACGGGAATTCTGCAAGGGGAAAGTTAAAATTCTACATGAATTTTCAAAAACCCAAATTCTGCAAATTTTTGAAATGTACAGGGTGTCAAAAAACAACGGCACCCCCCCCCCCCTCTACAGCAAAAAGTCCTGAATGTTCCATATCGTGTCATACATCATTTGAAAGATAATTAAATTCTGGAGTTACTCCTCAAATTTCATTTAATAAAACTTTGTATTAAAAAAGCTACATTGTTTTTAAGTTTGCTGTATTTCTGAAGAATTTGAGGAAAGTGCTTAGAGGATTATGCAATGCTACACCTTTATCTGGATTTTTATGAAATTTCTCAGGTAACTCCAGAATTAAATTGTCTTAAAAATGAGATATGGCACACCATGTAACATTAAATACTTTTTGCTGTAGAGGGGGGTACCGTTGTTTTTTAACACCCTGTAGATTAAATCTTCATGAATCTATTCATTTTTAACTGTTGTTTAAAATCCCATATCTAAACTAGAAGTGAAAATTCGTAAAAACATATAATTCTGGTAATTCCGTGGGGTTTCCATAAAAACAGGGATTCTGCAAAATGTGGAAGTGTTGACAAACATCCGCATCGCAGAATTGCGGAAAATTAGTATCTATGTATTGTATAGGATCAGCCATTGGTGGCAACATGATGTTTGTTTCCTTGTTACACCTTTTGAGTCAAACTTTTTGGTGGATTGATCTGAAATTCTTTGGGATGTTTCTCCAGAACTGATTAGTTTTTAGGCATTCTGGGTATACAGTATGTCTTAAAAAATGCAACAAACAAAAACATTGCAAAATCACAAAATGAGTGATAACTACATTGATTCCATTTAGTTAACCTCTTTCCAATGATATGTCATTTATTCACGTGTGACCACTGACCACCAAATAATCATTTCTTTTGCACAATGGTTCAAAATCTGCTCTTGACCAAGTTTAGACATTGTACACAATGACAGAGAATCACCATTGAGGTTGCTGCTTTCTGCCAGAACCCATGAATGATCCAAAAAGCTTTGTGTGACATGAAGAGATGAGCCAATATCTACTTGCAGAGAAATGATGGGCATGGAAAGTAGTTTGCATGAGTAATATTCATAAGATAACAGAAAATGATAGTGACTTTAACTGATTTAACTGTTTTAATAATGCTACTTCTTTTTTCCATAATATGTCTGGATACCGATAAACAAATGATGAGTGAAATAATTTTTTTCTTTCTAGAACTACGTCTGAAATGTAGGTCATGCAAGTCTTGTGACCAAAAGTTAATCCTCAGCCCCAATTACATAATGATTCACCTGATGAGGATCAGTTGAATTAGGGTGTTTCAAACTTGACACAAGGGCATTTTCACTCATGTGTGAAGAAACAATGATTATTCAGTAGAGATGTCATACTGACCTGAAGTTGACCCGAATCTGGGGTCGGAAGGCTTGGCTCGGGTCACGAACAACTACTTACCAATATCGGGTCAGGTCAGAACACTCAGGAATATCATAAATTATTGTAAAATGCTTTATATTTCAGGCAAAATTTCAAACTTCTGTCTGGCCTATTTCTTGAATATGTATAAATTATGAATAGGGAATAGTTTACGGTTCTTCCCAAATGATTTAATGCAAAGTTTCTTTATCCTAAATATCAAAGTAATGCAGGCTTAAACAGCAAATCCAATTCATTTTTTTGTTTTCTTCTGACCAGACTCGAAATTACCCGACCCACACACTTTTTGTCCCGACCCAACCTGAAAGATATCTGACCCATGACAACTCTATTATTCAGTGGTACGGGTCCATGATGGTATATGAAAAAATGATAGAAATGGAAAGAGACATGTGGTTACATTGTTAATTAAACGATTATTGATGTAATTATCCCTGGATTTGTGATATTACAAAATTTTTGTTTGTTGCGTTTTTTTGAGACACATTATATGTCAAGGTGGTAATTTTGAATTCTTCATTCTAAAATCTTGTCTCAAGTCTTGCAGCCTACATGATTGAAACCAAACTGTTTCATTGATTGATCTGAAATTTGAAAACTGATATGAGTTTTAGGTCATTCTGGGTGAATGTTAATGTGCGGCCATTTTCCATCCCAAAATCTGTTTATATACTATTCAAGGGTGTGATACTGTTAACTTTGTGTTGTTCTGTTTTATGGAAAGATTCCATCTTAATAATTTATTTAAAATACAGGGTATTTCTAGTGGCTTATATCATTAAAGAAAAGAAACAATGATCAGCGAGGAATGGCAGTTCAACACTTGCATTATAAGATGAATTCAATTGATTTTTTTGTATTTCGTTGATAATAGCTCTTATGTTAAGAATTAATTGCCAAGTAAAATGAATTATTTCTTGGTCCATTGGTGCTGAGCAGTAATTTAACGTCTCTTAAATTACTTGATCCCATTTTAGGAACCAAGCACTGCATTCATATGGTTCATAAACAGCAACTATATCAAATTAATAGATGTTCAACATCAGTTCTAAAGCAATGCTGCTGAGTATTGATAGTCATAAAAAATCTTAGATATACCCCCCCCCCCCCCCTAATCTGTATCCTCATCAAACAGTGCTGTCCAGTGCTTAACAGCACTTTAAAAGTACTGCCCTGTTCTGGACTCTGAGGTTGGCAGTATTCATAAAAATCAACACAATACATGTAGATGAATAAGGCATGAATAAGGCATAAACTTGTTTTTCTAAAACTTTGAAAAAATCCTGTCTCAGTGGTTTTTTATAATCAATTTCTAAGAAACCATTTAGAATATTTCATGGTAACCATTTCTCAGTAACCATTTAGAATATTTGATGGTAACCATTTCTCAGTAACCATTTAGAATATTTGATGGTAACCATTTCTCAGTAACCATTTAGAATATTTGATGGTAAAGTCCTCGAGTGTTTCATCATGATTTTTTTTAAAGTAATTATTACCCTCCTACTAAGTAAATGTTTCTGTATTGAAGTCAGTTTGACATAACGTTTGAACTGTTTGAGAGTTGTGAACATAAAATATTTCAATGAAGATAAGAGGGCACTTAGTAGATTATTTGCCAGTAAATTTATTATTTGTAGCATTGTGAAAATATCAAAGTAGGCACAGATGAAACTGATCCGCTGGCATCATATTTGGACTTCAAATGTTGTGTTTAAACTTTCTGATTAAAATAATTTCAAACATGACTTAATTTGGTACATGTACTTAATTAGGCAAGGGTCACCCTTTGATGAAAAAGTCCACGAGGAAAACTAAAAAGGTGAAAAGAATCAATACTCAACATTACAGACATTTTGTCTCAGTTTCAAAATCCTTTATGCTCAATATCATCTATTTCCATTTGCATCCCAATCATCTAAAAGATATGAAAACTTAATTCATATTTTGTTGACATCAATTGTGGATCATCAAATGAAACACATTTACACTTGCCACATTTATTATTTTGAAAAATGCACACATCCTACATGTAAAGAGAAATTTATTTATTTATTTAGCCTCCAATACTGAAGAATAGTTTGACAATTAAAACAATCTTACACTATACCTTATGCTAATTATACAATTACAATATCATTAATTATACATGAATGTAATGAGCAAAATTTAGACCCAACATAACAATGGATACATTGGTAAATCAGCTAAAAAATCTTCTTTGGTACATAATTGAGACATTCTTACATGAATACCTCGCTTGATATTGGAAGGAGGTCAAATTATTCTGCAGTTCTGATATGATTCAAGTTAGGATTAATGATATGGTTGTAAAAGAGTCTCAGATGAAAACATATTGATTAATTGGGCCTATAATGTTTATCAGTTCTGGCAGTCTGTTAGCTTGGCTCCAGTAAGTTACATCATTTCTGATCTGCTTTTTCTATGAGAGGACCACAGTGTATTTTTTACATCGTTCTGGTCCATTTTATAACTTTGAGCCTTCTCCATCTCTATCCTGCAATGCAACAAAGAGAGATGTTTACATGTTTAGTTTCAAAATGGATAATTTGGGTTGTTATAAAGTATATACATGAATCAAATATCCATGAATAGGTAACAAACACAACATAGTAAAGTCACAAAAGGTCTGTTGGTCGAGATTATATAAGAGATCACTATCAAGGTCAATCGAATCATATTTCACATTTTTGAAATCTTAGTGTCTTGAGATCTATAGAGGTCATAGTAGGTAAAAGACTTGCATAAAGTTCAAGGTTAGATGTATTTGATTTGTATCAATTTTTCAAAACACAAACAAGAATTTTCATCAGTGCTTGATGGGAATAAATACTCTGTAATCAGGAAGAAGCCATCTTGAATTGCCAATATATGAAGAAGAGGGGGAGACCCCAGAAACCCCAGAGTTCAACGATGACATACGCTTATAATGTAAATCTGTATTGAGATGACATCGTCGCTGATTGGTTTAGCGAGTCGATCGTTGATTGGTTTAAATTAAGTCAATTTGAAAACTTTGAAAACCAAGATGGAGGATATTCCGGGAAAGGATGTGCGTATGTCATCAATTGAATCATGGGGTTTCCCTCCTCTTTGTATGCAGTTTTCATAATTGAAAATCAAACTGGTAAATCATACTGTGAGTGGGAAAAAGCATGGTCAGCCAACATTCATCCACTAACCATGTTTGTTCTGTATTTTCAGTCGATAAAGGCTATGTCCCCGGAGTTCATAGCTATACACTGTCAGGAAGTGGGGGGCAAGAACTATGAAGAATCGATGCAATATGTCAATGCATTTGTCAAGTAAGTATACTATTTATAGCATTCACAAAATATATGCCTTTCACTCAAACTTGAATTATATTTAGTAGTTTTTTACAGTATTGAATGTAGCTTGCCTCAGAGAATACTCATTGATCTCTTTAGTGAAATTCATCTCACTTGAGAACAAGTCTTAATAATATGATCTGATGTAAATATACAATGTTATATTAAAATTGGAACTTGACTAATCCAAATACCACTGGGACTGACCAAAAATGTTCAGATTGGCAGGTTTTCACATTTGGAGATTTTTTAACATATGAATCCATGGTAGATTTAAAGATGAGACCAAAAGTGTTCATATTGAGAGGTATTTGGATATACAGGTTTTACTTTGTTATCATGACAACTGAATAAACTGAAAAAATTAAATTTGATATTGTATAGTCCATGCCAGTGGGGGAGATTTCCCAAAGATGACCTGTAGTATTCGGCATGTTCAATGACCAATTTTATAAACAGGCCTCATTTGCTATTGAAATGGATCTCACTATGTTCGCTGTTGTTTATGAGTATTCTCTACAAGTTTGGATTGAGTAACTCCAATAGTACTACAGTAGTTTTGAAATGATGATGTTGAAATGATGTTTAACTGAAATAAACGCCATTTCCACGATTTGAAATTTTACTTTACGCATGCGCAGCACTGAATGAGCACATGCTCATGATTATTCACGTGATCACATCCTGCAATTTGATTGGACGTCATATAATGGGGAATCCCCGAATACGATAGAATATGAAAGAATTGTGGGAGCTACTCACTTCTTCTGGTTCATGCAGTCAGTTTCATGAACAGTTTTTTTCCCATTGTTATATACAGTGAAACCTGTATTTCCAAACATCTCTCTAATTTGAACATCTCTCAATGTGAACATTTTTTCTCAATACCAAATTTGTTATCTCCATTAACTCACTTATTTAAAAAAATGAAATGTGAACTGCTAATCCAAACAGTTTTGGCTGGTCCCAAAGGTGTTTAGATGGAATAGACAGATTTTACTGTATACCCGTACATCTATTATAGGGGTATGTTGGCAAGTGATGAACTCCAGGAGTATGACAGAGTCAGGGTATTCCTGGATGAGGACTTCACAGCCCAAGACAAGTTCACAGTAAGTTAACCGAGAGACTGGGAGAAGGTGTGAATAAAGACAAAAAATGAGTTGACATGGTCGAGGCAATATTATTATACTATAATTTGACTTCGTTTTCATGGTTTCTGAAAAAATGTCTGCACAAATATTATTCTGTAAAATTTTAGCGAGGCACTTGCCTCACGCCTGGCTTTGCGGGATGGTTTGCCAATTTATATTTAAATGGTTATATGATATTACAAAATATATAAAGGCAAAAAGAAAAAAGTGCTCTGTAGAACATTGAACAACCATTTATTATTACTTTGTTTCAGACTATTCATTAAATGTATACAAGTTAATAGGAGACATGACATTAGCCTTGTAACACAAAAGAGATCAATCTAAGTATGTTTGCTGATATAGGTAAATCAATATACTTTTTGATATAGTTTATTTGAAACATGCAGATTTATTGTTCACCAATCATGTCAAGTCTTCATATTTGTTTTTTCAGGCTTTAGGCAATCTCTATTTTATCCATGAATCTGTGAAGTCTGTTGAAACCTGGGACTTTGACGGTGAGTCTTTGTAAATTCTCTACTTGTATCAGTACAAACTCTTGGTATTTCATTAATTAATATTTGAGTCCTACTACATTGACTTGTATCAGGAGAAGGGAAAGACCATAAGCCTTCTCTTTCAAAATGGTAGATGATAAATGTCAGTTTTGATATTTTGAGTTTTCATTTTGGACATAGGGCTTTGACAGTGCATCATGTCATCTAAAAATGGAACTATTTATCAATATGCAGAGTTTCTATGTCATGCAAGTTTGACGTGGTTAAAATTTCAAAAGTCGAGTGTCTACAGTAGTAGTTCAGTTCAATCAAAATTGAAATTATCACAATGAACACTTACATACACAATCAACACTTACATACACAATCAACACTTACATATACAATCAACACTTACATACACAATCAACACTTACATACTCAATCAGCACTTACATATACAATCAACACTTACATACACAATCAACACTTACATACTCAATCAGCACTTACATACACAATCAACACTTACATATACAATCAACACTTACATACACAATCAACACTTACATACTCAATCAGCACTTACATACACAATCAACACTTACATATACAATCAACACTTACATGCACAATCAACACTTACATACTCAATCAGCACTTACATGCACAATCAACACATACATACACAATCAAGACATACATACACTAGACATACATACACTATCAACATATACATACACAATCAAAATATACATACACATTCAACACTTACAAAAACAATCAAGACTTGTCAATCAACCATATGCCATTTTTAAAGAGAAGGTGTGAAACAGCTGTTACATTCTCCTCATTTCTAAGACATCAGTCCTTTGCTAAAGTTAATACATTAAAACCTGTGCATTTAAAGAAAATAGTCACACCATGGAACTAGGACTAGAAAGGCACCTATAATCATTTTTTCTTTAAATTTCAGAAAACAAATTCGTTGAAGTGGAAGGTAAAGATGTCCTCTCAGGGAATATTGAAAGTGTTCCTATAAAAGAAAAAAGAAAATTTCCCCAACATTTTTTCCCTGATGTAAGTATAGCAGGATCTCTGTAGTGTACATGGTTTTCTATACCATTGTACCATTTACCATTATTGAATATCATTTTACCCTCTTAGAATAAGAACTTTTGGTGTCATTGTCTTTTGAAAAGTTGAAAAATAACATCCTCAGAAAAATTGGACTCCAGATAGATTAATATGCAGCAATTTAGATGGAGTCATCTTGTCAGCTCTATTATCAAGAAGTCATGCTGCAACAAAGCCAACTGGCAACATTGACTTATAAGTGACTATCCATAACCTTGTGTTTACAGTTTCATGATTTCCATTTCAGTTTAGGTGGTCAAGAAAAGGTTTCATCAGAACCAGGTGGTCAATTAACAACTTGTAAGTAAAGAGTTTCTTACAAATCTCATGTCTGAAAGTTAGATAGTGAGCTTTTTTATAATAATTATTCAAAGTGCGATATTGTTATCATCTTGTGAGTGGATGGGTGTCACATAAATCTTGTCCTCCAAATTCCATGAAAATTGCTGACCTGATCGACTCAAAATGTTTGAAGATGCAAGAACAGACTAGTACCAAAAGTTTTAGGCATGCTTAGTGGCCATTTTGAATTTTTCAATAAAAAGTGTGATAATCACTGTGTGTCTTCATTTCTAGTACTAAATCTTTTCAATCTTTTGAGCTAATATCTTCCTAGTTTGTAATGCCCATTTTCTAAAAATTTTGGAAGTTCATATCGTATTCAGGAAACTTGTATATATTGTCTTGGCCTAATACATAAGATCTCACATACATTTCTACATCTAAAGCTTTCAATAACTCATATCGAAGATGAGTATCAGGAATTTATTTGAGATCTTATGTTTGGAATGGATTGGTTGGAACCTTAACCAACCAGAGCTCTGATTCTTGGCCAATCAAAGAATATGGATGTACAAAGAAAACTGCATTTGATTTAAAGATGCTATATATCAGTAGATCTAATAGGTTTATGTGCAATATTATAAATCATGGGAGACATTGATGACTTACAACACACATTTGATAGATTAACTGCTATACCAAATTTACTCTAGTTTTCTGATTAAAGTAATTCACACTGTGAATTCAAGTGAACTATATTAGACTAACATCCTTGCTTCAATATCAAGGCACTTTCTGGCCTTCATCAGTGTAATTTGTCAAAAAAATTAAAAATGTCAAGTTATTAGATAATTTGAAATATGTAACATGCATTCTAGAAATCATGCATTTCACAAAACACATATTTTAGAAATTATGCATTTCACAAAACATGTATCCAAACATTTGAAAATTTTGTCATGAAATATCTTCATTCAATAGACCTTTATAAATCCTCTACATTTAGAAAAGGTGAGAGTGTTCAATTATTTGAAATGTGCTTGGCTTCCTACTCCAAGTCAAATCCCCCTCAAATGGTTTACATAATCTTATACTACAGTTATAAATGTGAAGTATGTTAATGTATATTACCCAGATCAATGTTAGTGACAAACTGCTATTAATTCATATGGCCCTTAAGTAAACAGTTCTGCCTGGTAAAATCCAGATATTCAGAGGATTAGCAGGAATTTCTGTTTGTTTTACATAATGGTATTTTATCAACTTGTTCTGGGGTAGTGAAGAAAAGTGTCTTATGGTGCAATATTTGATTGAAGACAACATTCTGGAATGTTATTACAGGGGAGAGGGAGGGTACTGAGTTTCTTAAACCTTATCTTTAATGCCAAACCTTATCTTTAATGCCTTGTTCCTCCAGTTTTAAGTTTTCCATTTCAACCTTGTATGTCTATTGGGGCCTAGTTTTTGGCCTTGTATTCATTGCCTTTTGGGGACTTTTTATATTATCTCAACTGACCTCCCCTATGTTATGCCCCTAGTTTTCCAATCAGCCTGACTTGTGCCAATATCTTGGGGGTCCATATTCTAGTCTTGTATTTTCCTTAACACACATCTCTCTCTATTCTAATCTCACGGGCTATCTTACAATTGTATTTTTTGTGCATAGATTTTTATCATGTGTTTACTTGTGTTTGTTTTGTTTTATTTTCAGAAAGTTTGACTTAATTAATATCCACCTGTTTCACGATGCCTCTAACATACTCGCGATGGAAACTGTAAGTGAACAATCTTCTTACAAGTTTGTAATATATTGTGAGATGCATTTCAATAAATCTTTCATTTGAATGGATATGGTGGTTAACTTGCTCTGGAATTGAATTGCATCTTATGACTCTTATATGGAAATGGGATTTCAAAGAGTAATCGTTTTTGTTTTTAAGTTATAAAGTAAATTGGCATGTGGACGAGACTCATGAATTATTAGTATAGATTAGATGTCAGAATATCATGCAATTCATTCAAATCCAGATCGACATTGAAAGCATTTTAATGGTATTGAGAGTCACTATATTCGATTTATTTCATCAAACTTATTTTTGATACGCTTGAATGTGTCTGAATGGCAAGTTAACCTTTTGTATCAATTCCATAACAGTTGTAGAAATTTTATTCGCTGATGCTTGAAATATGAGTCAATAAAACTTAAAGTGACTAATGGAATCCAGTTTGGTTAAGCACAAGGGACATCTTATTTATTGAATATGACCCACTATTACGCAGTAATGTTTAATGGTGTTCCAGCACATTAATAAATCAAATGATTTATGAGAAAGTTTTGTGGATTTGTAAGACATTCATTCCTCAATAAGAAATAGTAGATGTGTAGTTTTTCAATAATTACATATTGTTTGGTCAGTCTACAGTGCTTATATTAGAGTGTCAAACTCTTAGAAATGCTTGTGAATACAGTTGATATTAATTATAATTATTACCACCTTGTCGGGCCAGTTCTAGGGGTTTTAGTGCTAGTTTAAAAGGCATTCATTTTTCTATATCGACCTGAGCAATATGTGACGTCATAGTGGCGGTCAATGTAGCATTTCAGACTGGTCGAGAATGCATTTAACGACCGGCAATTTTCCTCGGTCCAATATTTCACTATATTGCCCTTCGAAATGACGTTATTGTACTATTATTGTAGCTGTTGTAGCTTAACTTTTATATTTATTTATGTTTCAGGCTCCATCAGTATATGTTTCAAACAGAAATGGTGCTCTACGGTATACATTAGAAAAGTAAGTGCCAATTACCAGTGCAATATTTTCTTGTTTTTATCTTGGGTTGATACATTGCTGTACTGTCACATGGATACTTTCCATGTAGATGCTGTTGCATCTGAATGTACAACATAGGAGGATGAAGTTATATAGTTGTGTACCAATTATTATGGTTTTAACACATAAAACCTGACCTTTTAAACCATGCAGATAATTTGAGAACTTTCATTGAAAATTGTGTTCATTTAAAACAAGGTCTTGATCGGTTTGGGGTATTTTGTGGAATAATTTCCCTTTGAAATATTTACACTATGTAGATGAAACACTTGACTAACTATTAAAGCATATTACTGCTTTTACGATGTTTTACTATTTGTATGTGATTATATGTTTTTTTTCTGTGTTGTAGGCTTGAAAATGACGAACTTGAAAATGTGCCATACTTTATGTTTGGGGACTTCAACTTTAGGCTCGACACACACGCTCTAGTCAAAGTGAGACATTATTGTTGTCATTTATGACCATATAAATTCACAAACCCTCAACAGTCTCTGTGATTCATGTATTTAAAAACAAAATGAGGCAACGATAAAATTATTTTGAATTTAAGTTTGGAAACATTTTCAGAATTTCTTTTTTTTAACTTTTAGTAATAGGTTCAGGGTAAATTTATCAATATTCATTCATGATTAATGGAAATCAATAAATGCCCACTTATATCTGTTCTTGAAGTATTTCTATTCTGGAAAGAATCTTAGACTGTGTAATATGTATAGTTTTGTCCTTTACTGTGGTTTTACATGCTGACAGCGTGCCTAAATATTGTCCAACTACAGCATTACCTCCCTTGTAAATTGACAATATCCTTGAAGAATTCTTGATGTCATCCGCCTTGACTGGACCCGTGAAATGTTTTTTAATCAATTTTGTTTTTTCAGGATCTTACACAAAACCATGTAAAAACAAACAGATGTTCAATACGAAGTAAGAAGAACGACGAAGTAACGAAAATTATATTCAAAGATCAGGGAAACAGTGAAAAGGTAAATCCAAACTTCCAGATAATTTTGAGTTTATGTATTGGAATTAAATTTGACCCAAATATCATGTAGGTGGAGACCTCGTATAATATGAAAGACCATTTGATTAATAACAATGACAATAAATATCTCAGAAATACTTGTCAGATATAAGGCCCCTAGATGTTGATCAATTTTTATTTCTAGTTATATCTGAACTATAGATGCATGAAGCTGAAAAACATATGTTTATTTGCAGCCTATTTTAACTGTGGGCAAGAAAGATTTCCACCATCATCTAAAACACGAGGAGATCTTTCTTAGTAGTAATACATGGGTAAGTTTATGATTATACTTTTAGTACAGTGTTAAATACTTAAATACTTAGGCTTTAATTATTAAATATTTGCCATATATAGATGGATAAATAGATGGAAGCACGTGTGTTTCTAAAGTCACTTGATTTCTTGATATATTGAATATTTCCAAATGATTTCCAAATCTCCATTGGCATGATGATCTTGTTCACATTTGGATTGTGCTTTTACCTCAAAATTGTGATTATTAAAAGAATAAATGAACTTTTAAAAAATTAAATGGGAATATACCCTTGAATTTTAGAAAAGTTTAAATTGAATTAAGAACTTAAATATGTCATGAAAAGAGGTAAATGAAAGTCCTATTAGTAATTTCATTGAGATTTCAAAACTATAGCAAATAACAAATTTTACAATGTATAACTTTCTCAACATTGCAAAGTTCTTGTTATACTTTTATGGGAAGATGATTATTCTTTGGATCATACAGATTTTTCCCTTCCTTACTATGTAACATTTATAAAGCTTGTAAATAATTTTTCTTCCAGTTAAGGAGTTTCGACAAAGAAGTAAACCCATTTTACGACAAAACAAATGAATTTCCCATTCATTTCCCACCAACGTAAGTATGATTTATTTTTTCTTATAATGCCCTATCTGGAGAAATTGACTGTCATAACTGTTCTTGATATTTATAAATCAGAGGCTTATTTGCAATAAATTCAGACATTAATAGTACTGTGTAATTCTTAATCTGAATACCAGTTTGTGCACCTTTTTAAGTATGTGTGTTAACTAGATTACATTTAAAGTTGACTAAAAAATAAATTCAATTTCTATGGGAAAATACAAAGTCAGTGGAGCACGCCATTAAGAACAAAATACATGTAAATGTTGATATGCGCCTGCCTGATGTTTCCTTGGTAAAATATAAAGTCAATGGAGCAAGCCATAAGGTTTACTATAAATGCTGAGATATGAATGTCTGATGTTTAGATACCCATTCAGTGAGGACATAGATGATGGAAGGTCATATATGAAGACTAGGTGTCCAGCATGGTGTGACAGAATACTATACTCTCACAGTGCCAAGGAGATCATTATACAGGTATACGAACTGTTAATTACATGTCATTATCCCACTGAACGAAGTTCGAGGGGGATATAGAGAAGCCGTCCGTCCGTCCGTATTAGAGCTGTAAAGCTACATGTCATTCCAATAAGTTACATGTGATACCAACAAGTTACATGTGATACCAATAAGTTACATGTTATACAATAAGTTACATATTATACCAATAAATTCAATGTTATACCAATAAGTTCCACTTCATAATGTAGTAGCACATGTACAGTTGTGATTTTAATTCATTTTTGACACACACCCCGTGGAGGTAATGCCATCTTTTTATACAAGTAAACAATGATTAATTTAATACTTAATTCCTTCCCCTCTTTTTATTTACAGGACTCTGAGAAAAAAGAACCAGAATATTATATTATTGGAGAAAATATATGTATGGGCGATCATAAGGTAGGTTTTGTGTGCTAGATTAACTTGCTGCAATCTGCTGTTTTTAATATATTAGTGTATTGAGAGATGTTAATTTAACACTGAAAGGTCCGAAATGTATGCAAACCATTTAAAAGAAACTTGTATTTAAAAATTAATTTTGACTCAACGATTTCTTACTGTTTCACTTAACTGTTTTATGCTTACAGCCAGTGTACCTAAAACTGAAGCTCCGCATAAATCAACCAGGTAATCTTTTAAGAGGTTCACGAGAACGTGTAGATTCAATCAGCCGAGGGGTCTCAATTAATGGCGAAATATTTCCCAGCACAGAAATCACTGATCTGAACATTCATGACTATGCCAAATTTGAAAAAGAAGAACATATTATCCCAGAGTTCCGTCAGAGTCTAAAAACAAAAAGTCTTCCCTTAGATCGTAGCAGGAGTAATTTGCAAGATAGACATTCTGATAAACCAACGTTGTTAAGACGAACTTTCAGTGACTATGCGAAAGAGATTGTTTTGGCGTCATCTGTTTTACATGAAATGAAACGTCGTAGATGGGATCATCATTCAGATTCCGATGACTCTATCTCAGATAATGAAAGTGTTGCTACTGATATTGAGGAAATTGTAGATGAGGTTGTCTCTCTTGATAGTCCTAGTCAATTGCAGTCCGCTTCAAATGATCAAACAAGTAGCCAATTAAAAGTGTCCCATTCTGATTCAATTGTTCAGGAATGTCTTGTGTCTAAAATAATGGTCTCTAATAACAACAATGCTCCAAATTCCAATAATACCACAAAGGTGGCCCCTGAAGTTGTGACCACCTCTGGAAAACTTCACTCCGAAATACAAGTAAAACCTGACCCCAAAAGCATGGTGGATCCTGACCCCCAGGACATCACAGTTGAGCTGACTGAGGGTGGTGACACTGGCATGCCGCATGATGACACTTTAGGAGGTAGTACCCCCACCCCAACACAACCACTGGTCAAAAGAAACAAAAGCATTGAGTCCTTAGCCAGCAGGACGGCTAAGAGGTCGGGATATTGCCGCGACTGCCCAACTTGTGTAGTGTTGTAATGTGTGCAGTGCCCCCTATAGTGTTTGATGTTGTATTCAAGGTAGTGTTATGTGGTTTATTTTATTACATTTTCAGTCACAATAATGTTTTGCATATGAGATCTGGTTAATACGAATGCAATCAAATGATTTGTACAATTCAATTCAATTCATTTGTACTCTATTGCATAACTAAATGAGACAAGTTATCTAAAATTTACTTTTTCAGTCGCTATTGACTGGCGATCAATTATTTTTGCTCATTATTGAAAAAGAATTATTTCGATACTTGATGAAAATCATATGATTCATTCTGATGGTTCATTTTTTAAATTTTATTGTGACTGGAAATATACCTTGTTATTACTAAGTACTAAATATTGTAGCTTCTTTAGATATTGTTATGTTTATTTACTTAAATGTTTTTGAATTTATAAGGTTAGGTTTAAGTTTGTTTAGAATATCCCTGCATTGTTTACTAAATTTATTATATTGAAATATCTTTATTAATTATTATGTTGTTATATATGAAATGCATGTTCTGTTATAACTCTAGTCTAATTTTGTGATGATTTTAATTGTCTTTTTGTCACCAATCATTTTCAATCATTTCTCTATATTATCTTTGTTCTCTCTGTTGCACACACATGTCAAATGTACTATCTGTTAGCTTGGCATTGGTTTGCATGTTTTAGAAATGTTTGTTTTTCTTCATCTTTAAGTATATTAAAAGACGTAGCATGTGTTAAGAGTGGTATGAGAAATTGTTAAAGGTTGTGTTATTTTCGCATATTTATTTGATTCTAACTATGTATTGTGTCATATATGTTGTTATGTAATCGAGTTGATAAACCCTACACAAACCTATCTCTTTCTTGGAATAAGTTAACACCTAATCTGCCACATCACAGAGTGAATTCCCTGTACCCCGAGATACAAAAAATTAGGATAACATGATGTGTTATTTTCTCCCTTGTTTTACTGGTATTGTTGGTTCCAGTTGGTTGGTTAATATAAGAAAGTTCAGGTATTCAGTGATTGGTGTGTGATTAGCCTCTGGATCATTGGTTGATTTTGGTGAATTGTATTCTTTTGGTTGATTGTCTTGATATTGTTGGATTTGTATTCATCATGGTTGATTGGTTTGGTAAATCTACTGATTTAGATAACCCAAATTTATTGTTAATTTCACAAAATGCACAAATATATATCTGTACTTTGATTGATGACCGATTGATGATGTGTTTAACTTTGTATCACTATATCTCTACTCATAATCTAAAGTAATCACATTCCTCTAAGGAACAACTCACATATAATACCATCATTCTCATTCTGTTTCAAATAATACGAGGGACTGTTCAGGAATTTCTGGACCTTTGGGTCTATTTTTGCCATTTTTATCCTTTCTTAGTGATTTTTCACACAATATAACTCAAATATATAGGATCACACCATGAAGATTTCACTGTTGTATGAAATCATTATCCTTTTATTTTTGTTACCATGGTAACTGGTCTTTGCCTACAAAATGTGATTGTTTCCATTGGTTGTGGCTGTGTACCACACGCACCGAGTCCCCCAGAATTAGCTGGGTGTGATTTCTATCTTTTCCCAACAGTGAAGAACAAATTATGAGGTACCCACTTTGAAGACAGTAATGATATTATTCAGGAATTCAAACACCATTGTTACAAAGTAGGCAAAGACGGTCTGTATCATGTCTTTCAGGACTGGGTGAAAAGGCATAACAAATACTTACATAGTGCTGGTGACTACTTTGAAGGATTAGAATTGATGGAAGAATAATGACAGTTACTATGAATATTAATGAATATACTTAATGAAATAATACAGCCTATTACAGTACAGGGTGTCCCGAAAGTATGGGCCCCCCCCCCCTAGGCAGACATACCCCAATGTTCCCATAGTATGTGTCATATATCATTTTAAAGCTTATCCAAAGTTACATTGATTTACCAAGTATCATCGTTCAACTTACAAATGGGAAAAAGTTACAGGCTTTTCAAAACTTAGTGTCTGGCCAAAATTAAAGTTAAAATCAGTATCCTGGAAACACCGCTAACCTGAATGTGACCAAAAATATGGGTGCTATCGTTAAAGAGAGGATGGATATTGAGTTGTAAAAAGAGGTCAGTAAGGGCAGATACTCCAAGGAAATTTCTTCTAAAATGCCTTAAAAAGGTTTTATGAGGATTATTTAATGCCATACCCCTATTTGCAGTGTATTGTTGTTTTTCAAATTTGGTATTTTTCTGAGCTCCACCGTGTCGCGTCACCAGTTACCATGGTAACAAAAATAATAGAATAATGATGTCATAGAACAATGAAATCTTCATGGTGTGATCCTTTATATTTGGGTTAAATTGTGTGAAAAAACACTAAGAAAGGATAAAAAATGGCAAAAATAGAGCCAACGGTCCAGAAATTCCTGAACACCCCTCGTATTATTTGAAACAGAATGAGAATGATTAATTAGTTCTCTGAATAGTGTACAAACCTGTTGTATGTTAACCCCAGCATATTTTTTCTTCCAGTGGAAACCAAAGCCACATCAAACCACACAGAGCATAAAGAACTGCCAAATCAGCAGATAATGATAACACAAATAGAATCTACAAAATATGTACACGTGCGGCAGAATGGAGAATCAGTGAGGGTGTTTCGAGAGACGTCTGTATAGCATTTGGTGATTGTACATTTTATGTGGAGATTATTTAAGTATTGTACATTGTTAAGTAAAATGCTTTTGTCGATGCAACATGGAGCTTGATACATGTGATAAACTACATGGAGCTTGATACAATGTGAACTACTACACGAGCTTGATACATTTGATAAACTGCATGGAGCTTGAAACATGTGATTTGCAAACATGTAGCTTAATACATGTGATTAACTACATGGAGCTATACATGTGATGGTATACTACATGGAGCTATACATGTGATGGTATACTACATGGAGCTATACATGTAATGGTATACTACATGGAGCTATACATGTGATAGTATACTACATGGAGCTATACATGTGATGGTATACTACATGGAGCTATACATGTAATGGTATACTACATGGAGCTATACATGTGATGGTATAATACATGGAGCTATACATATGATATACTACATGGAGCTATACATGTGATATACTACATGGAGCTATACATGTGATGGTATACTACATGGAGCTATACATGTGATACACTACATGGATCTTCATAAAAGCACAGTGTCACATTTCATATAAAGAGTCACATCATGTAATATAAAACATTTGATAAATAAATGTCACATAAGTTATGTGTCACATCTGATAATATTTCAGTCACATGTGTTAAAATAGTCACAAAGTTTTTACATGTCACCGCTTGTATTTAGACAATGTAAACAGACAATGTGTAGACAAATTCTAGTTAATGTACATAGTAAATAAATAACAGTTGAGATGCAATCTTCAATAAATAGTATATAAATAAAATTATGTAAAGTCATATAAGGAAATCTTAATCTAAACATTTGGAGCTCTATTTATAAAGCCAGTGCTACTTTTAGAACATTTATGCAGCATACTGCAAGATTTTGTAGGCTATTTTGCCCCCATACATCTCTGATCTTGTCTTGGTACATTTTAGAATAGTTCTGTGCAATGTGACAAGTGCAGTGGGCATGTTACATGCAAAATGATATGGATGTTGGGTCATCTAAAAATTGTATTGGATAATTAAAATTATTTTCAATTCATGTGAATTCATTGACTACCTCTGATTAAACACTGTTTTTAAGGTTAGAAATAATTTGATCAAAATGTTTCAAAACTCATTGGAACAATTATATAGCCACAATGGATGAAACGAATTACAGAAAATCCCTCCTGAATTGCATATGATTACGATTTAGTAATAGGGGCTCATATGGTAGCCAAAGGTGGGCCCGTCAGTGAGCAAATTTGAACCACATTATTTATCTCGGGAAACATGTCAGATTTAATGATTTGGAACTTTGACGCCCAAAAAGCGACCATTATGGATAGCTTTTCTAGGTTTTATACCCCCCGAGGTTATTTTCGAGGGGGTCTCAACTCTTTCTTAATAACTCTAAAAATATTAAAGAAATGTGTCTGAAACTTGCAGGGTACCTTCCTGGGGTCAACACATAGCTGTATTGAAAGTTAAGGATTATTTGGAATAACGGTTGCTATAGCAACCAAGAATATGTGTTTCCGAACTGGCAATTTACAGCAATTTTGGCCTGTAGTAACCTGGTTGAAGTTAGATATTTTTTCTATTGATGAATTTTCACATTGTTAATTGGTTTCAAAAACACACTACAACTGTATTCTTTCATTTTATTGCAGATTAGAATGACACCATTGGTATTAAAGGGTCCATAATCGTACATGAATGAACCCACCCCCCAAAGTCTATAAAAAGTGGGCGTGGCACCAGACATGTACCAGTTTGTAATTCATAAGTTTAAACACCCAATAAATAATGTTGATATTTGTGTTACCATCTTTCCAGTGGTAGTTGAATAAGGTCTTTTAAAAAACTAGATATATTACCATGGAAACCATATATTTATGTTGCCATAGCAACAGAACTATGGTAATGAAATAGCCAATAATTTGATCGAAGCCCTCGTGCATGTGGTCCCATATATACAAAAATCAAATGTCCTGTATCTCTCAAATATCTTAAAACCTTCCTGGGGTCAACACAGAGCTGTATTGAAACTTTGGGATTATTTGGAGTAATGGTTGCTATAGCAACTAAGAAAATGTGTTTCCGAGCTGGACAATTTATGGCAATTTTGCCCCACTGCAACTTGGATATTTTTTCTAGTGATGAATTTTCACATTGATAATTGGTTTCAAAAACACACTACAACTGTATTCTTTCATTTTATTGCAGATTAGAATGACAACATTAGTATGAAAGGTCCATAATCATACATGTATGAACCCCCCCCCCCCCCCCAAAGTCTGTAAGAAGTGGGCGTGGCACCAGACATGTACCACTTTGTAATTCATGAGTATAAAAACCCAATAAATAATGTTGATATTTATGTTACCATGTTTCCAGTGGTAGTTGAAGAAGCTCTCCTAAAAATATAATCATATGATAAATATATACATATAATATCATGTATAAATATATTATCATGGAAACCATACATTTATGTTGCCATAGAAACAACTTTGGTATGTTAACGCAAGGCTTAATGAAATTATTGTTCATTTGACTATTCATTTGGCCATTTAGAGAAAACAACAAATGTATGAGTAAACTATATTGGCTGAATATATATCTTAGTAGTTTATATTCTTTGAAGTTCACATTTGTATGTTAGTATGTTAGTAGCAGAACGTGATATGTGATAGGCCCCAGAGTGATGGCACTCAGAAGACTGCATATGATATCAAAAATGAAGCTTGAAAGAGATAAGTAATACAGCATACTATGACCCTGTCATTTAACCAACAGATGAAGCTGTAAAGTTCTTAAACCAGTCTATTTCAGTCCTCCTTAGTCCTTTTTGAAAACTTCACCTATATAATTTTGAAGCTCATATGTGGGTTCTGACTCTTCTGGATCTGTCATAGCTGGCCTCATCACATCAACAAGATCTTGTCGTAATATATTTGATGTGCACCAGTCTAGTTCTAGTACACAAGATTTCAACCCATTGCCTCTGGGAGATGAGAGTACAGGCTTGTGTTACACACAAACTCTTCAATTACAGCCTGTGTTTCAGTTGTAATATTTGTAGATGACCCAATACATTAATTGAATGCATCTTGGTATTTCTGGCTATTGAATAGCAGAGTTGGGGGCTTGGTTTTTCCTCGTTGAACAAATGCACTAACACAATAACAACCTGTGAGAATGGTGTATCATCAAGACTAGAAAATCTGTGTCTGGGGAATGTACAATAATGTTCTTTGACTGATCAAAACATCTTCACATGTACTCATCTTGGTGTTTGCTTCTTCTTGTGTTGACAGTAGATTGTTATCAACATATGATCGGACATTTAGACCATCACTAGTGAGAATTTTGCACATGTAAAGTATACTTTTCTGTTCTTCAGCTTGGCTGAGTACTTATCTGTTTGCCACTCGCAAAGGATACGACTGTTTAGTTGGGTCTTGTTTTGGCCGTTGCTCAAAAATTCTTACCAATTCTTAGGGATTTGGTCCTTGGATCATGAACGGTTTTGATGTTCCTCTTCTCATTCTCTCTGGTTCTTTTATTGAATCTATGTATTTGATAGCTGTCAGTTCTTCAAAGATGGATAGACGCTGCACTAAGCTGTGATAGATAGCATTACCATCATATATGTAGAATGATTCATCTTTTGCTGGTCTTGAAGGGTGATGTTGGAGATTCTCAAGAGCATTTAGGAGTGTTGCTTTTGCTGCCTTCGCTGGCAGACCATCAGGAGACCCTAGCGCCCATGACACTGGACTAAGCGAATACTCTTAAACTTTCTTGTTCTCTTGAGATATAAGAACTAACTGTCAAAAAATATTCCTTTCAGCTCTAAACTTGTCAGATGTTATCAGGATGTCCTTCTCGATTGTCACAAATGTCTTCATCTTTATTCTTTTCACTGGATCTTGAAAACTTTTGGTGTCACTCACAAGTCTTTTTCAAATTCCACATTGCCTCTGGATCTGACATGCAGTAGGTCTTGAGCTACATCTGGAACAGGCCGCATTCCCGATAAAGACAGTAGAGTTGATTATAGCATCTGTCTCAAAGGGGTCTAAAAAAGTTACCTATTGCGGCCCTTGCTTTTGAAACACCTTCAGAGCCTGCTATGTTTGCATGGTAGTAGGCATTTGGATTGGTGATAAATCCAATTACCCACCCCCTTAGATTTCCCACTCTGATTGATAGTCTGTTCAGTGGTTTGATCAACTGGGAAATGTAGTGCAGGTACTTGGGACCTGTTAACACTAAACCCAAGGTCTCTCAATAGCCTTTCTTTCTCTTGGTTTGTATGCTTGAGGCTAGCAAGCATGACATATTGTGCTGTTAGATATATAGCATAGTTGGGCTGGTCCATTGCAAAAAATAGTGGACATAGGTCTTGTAGACGCTCAACAGAGTAATTGGAGGTCAAACTCATTCTCTGCTAGCTTGGATGAATCGTGATATTACATGACAATAACCTCTTGTGAGAGCATGGGGATTGGTAGCTGGCTGATAAACTTGTCTTTTGGGCACTCTGATTGATCTGTTATAATGATTTCCAGTTAGCACAGCTTCAAGAGATCCACTAGCATATATGCCAGCTTCAATGATGATCTCAGAGAAACCGTTAAAGCAAAGCCAATGAATCAATAGCCAGAAATACCAAGATGCATTCAATTAATGTATTGGGTCATCTACAAATATTACAATTGATACACAGGCTGTAATTGAAGAGTTTGTGTGCAACACAAGCGGCAAGCCTGTACTCTCATCTCCCAGAGGCAATGGGTTAAAATCTTGTGTACTAGAACTAGACTGGTGCACATCAAATATATTACGACAAGATCTTGTTGATGTGATGAGGCCAGCTATGACAGATCCGGAAGAGTCAGAACCCATATATGAGCTTCAAAATTATATAGGTGAAGTTTTCAAAAAGGACTGAGGAGAACTGAAATAGACTGGTTTAAAGTGTGCGCCAAAGTTTAAAACTGCGCAGGCGCACCGCTCTCGCTAAACTATATAAAGAGATTACCGGGTACACGATTCAGAGGTAAGCCAGGAAGGCGAACGATCTTCGTCTCGTGATGATTTCCCATATAATCGTAACCAGGGAAGTTTCGCCATTGAAATTGAAAATTACTATTAGACATACTTTGTAGATGTTATTTATGAAGCTATTTAGTGTTTGCATCAATCAAATGGCTCATTTTGAACATATAAAAGTATTTGTGTTTTGTTTCCCAGGGAATTGTATTGTATGTAGTACACACATAAGTAGTGTACATTATACAGTACTTG